TCCTGGCAGTGCTCCATATTCCCTCCCTCTACTCCCAGTGACCCCACACTGAACTGCTTCCCAAACAGCTAACACTTGCCAAATGAAGTCTTTGTTCATGCTGTCTCCTTAAGCTGACACATTATTCCATTATTCTGTTAGTCAGTCTTTAAGGCACAAGTCAAAATCTCCTTCCTCCATGCAAGTTGTTCGTAGATTGTCACCTCTTCTGTCCATCAACTAGAACCAGTCACTCCCTGCTCCATGGTCCCCAGACCTCTCTTGACCCACACATCTGGCTCTTTCTTTCGTGCATGCTGTTGCGTCTGCACTAACTCATAGTCCCTGGGAGTGAGCAAGTCTCACTGAACTCGATGGCAGAGGATGAAGCCTACACTCCTGAGAATAGCCTACAAGGCTCTCTGTGGCTCAGTGCCTGCTCGGGGAGCTTTCTTTTGATGAGCCCCTGGGTGCTCATCAGCCTCTGCTGCTTTCGGGGTCCCTCAAGGTCATGGCCAATGGAGGAACCTACTGCTGCCAGGATTCCCGGGGGTGCACATGTTTGTGCAACATGCACCTTTTCCTCTAGGCAGCCACACCAGCTGCCTGCCTTTATGCCTCACCTGATTATGAAATTTAGTCCCTAATTGAACTTCTGAAACACAACACGCAAAACTCTCTCCTGCAAAGCATTCCTGAGTTTATCTGACTTTTAGACGAGACCAAGGAGGAGATTTACTTCTTAGGTTCCCAAATTTATTGGGCCTACCAATCCCTTTTCAGGAGAAAAAAAAATTTACTCAGTGCTCCTCTGGCAATTAAAAACTTGCAATGTAGCCCATGATCCAGGCTAACATGCGCCTATCTGCTTTTGCAGGCGCTCCTGGATCGTGCCAGCACTCCCCAGGGCGGGTGCAGGGCAGTACTGCCCACTTTGGAAAACACTGGCTTACAGCATCATGACGCCCGCCCGTGACCTCCCTAAAAGATAAGCGCCTGCCCACCATGGGCCTCGCTGATGCCCTGCTTCTTTGTCTCTTCCTGGTGTCTCTCTCCTCTTTCATTCTGCCTTGTCTGCCCACTCTCCTCTTTCTCTCTCAGGAGGAGACACAGCACTGGCCAGCCCTGGGGACTTTCACCCCCAGCACTTAGCAAGGTATTAAAAGACTGGCAGCCACAGAATTCCACAGTTCCCTCCAAAAGGGGGAATTTGAGGGCCACTTGTTATGATAAACTTAAAAATTCCATCACACATGCGTGCCAAATGGATAGTTCCCCATAGGTGGTACACTGTTCATATTTTTATGCCTTTGCACATTCTGTTCCTTCTGCCAAGAATGCCCTTCCTCCATCACCGTCTTGGCAACTAACATTTCCCCTTTCACAGCTCTTCTCCACAGAGTCTTCTGTAAGCCACAGTACTGGCCCACCATCTTCCTCAGGGCCAGCAGGGTGCAACAGTGCTTCCTTGTAATGATCTGTTACACATGTCTGTCTGCCAGGCCAGACCACAGCCTCCGTCAGGACACCCATAACATCTCATCAGTCCTGATATTCCCGGTCTCTTTCCCAGATCCTGATCGGTGTAGCAAGTGCTATGTAAGTCATTTCCATCTGAATTAAGATGAGAGTAGACAGGTGCTGACCAGGATGACAGGGAAGGCCATATTCTACAAGAGGGAGAAGAGAAGTCAGTACAAGCTCTGGAGAGACTGGAGAAGCCATTTAAATTATTGAATACAAAAATGATGATCTGAAATGTAAACCCCCACCCAATGAACAATAAAACATTTTAAAAAAAACAAAACAAAATGTGGGACTCATGACCACACCTGAGACTTAAGACCTTTTAAAGGTAAAGTCCTTACAGTGTTGGAAGCAGTACTTGTTTTAGAAAATAACGCCTAATTTGGAACATGTATGAACCTCATAGTGCCAAGTGGTGCATTTACCTCACTGGCTGGGACTGTTCTTGAAGCCACTAATCTGAACAGCTTCTGGATTAAAAAGCCATTAAAGAATGAATCCCAGTGCCGGGTACTAGTGTGTTTCATTGGTTGAGAGGAGCTGGTCTCTTGTAATCAGTGCAAAGTCTGTTTTCAATGGGGGCCGCTTCCTTCCCGCTGGCTTAGATGTGTGGCTTCTTGGTTCCAAAGTCGTGCTTGCTTATAAGAGCAAGGTGTCCCTTGAGCATGATAAGATCGCTTACTCATGGCCTGGCTAAATGGATTTGGTCATCCAGATCTAAAACTCATAAGCATATTAAAAAGTGGGCTATTTCTTTATTTCTTATTTGGATATCATTTACATACCATACAATCCACCCGTTTAAAATGTATGATTCTGTTTTTTAGCGTATTATTGGAGCTATGCGACCATCACCACAATCTTCACTCATCACATTTTCATTACCCCCTACCCATCAGCAGTCACTCCCTGGCCTTGCCTCTGACTCCTCACCTGCCCCAGGCAACCACCAAGCTACCTTTGCTCCTACAGATTGACCTCTTCTGGATTTTCCAATGAGTGGAGTCGTATAATATATAGCGTTTTGGTTACTGCCCTCTCTCACTTAGCATATTTTTTAAAGGCTCATCTCTGCAGTAGCATGTGTTCGTTCATTTTTACTGTTAAACGATGTCCCAGTGTACGGACGCAGCACATTTCATTCACCCAGTTTTTGGACGGATTTGGGGCTGTTTCTCTTTCTCTCTTTTTTTAGGCAGTGGGGGGGCTGTTAGGACTAATGCTTTTGTGAACACTTGTTTACTGGCTTTTGTGTGAGCATATTTCTTCATTTCTTTTAGACACAGACCTACGAGTAGAAATACTGGGTCATATGGTAACTCTAAGAGCCCTGGTGGGGTAGTGGTTACGCATTGGGCTACAATCCACATGGTTGGCAGTTCGAAACCACCAGCAGCATCAAGGGAGAAAGACTGGGCTTTCTACTCCATAAGTGGTTACAGTCTCAGGAACCCACTGACTCGACACTCACTCGAAAGAAATGAGGTTGGGTTTTTGTTTCATGGCGACTCTACGTTTAACTGAGATACTGCTAACTCTTTTAAAGTGGCTGTACCATTTTATTCACAGGAGAAAGGTGGGACTTTCTATTCCCATTAAGATGTACAGCCTCAGAATGCAAAGGGGCAGTTCTACCCTGTCCTAGAAGGCCGCTATGAGTCAGAATTGCCTCGATGGCAGTGAGTAAGGCATTTTACATTCCTGTCATAAAATGAAGAGGCTTCCAATTGCTCCTGCCCATACTTACACTTGCTTTATTATCTGTCTTACTATTACAGCCATTGTAGTAGGTGTGAAGTGGTATCTCATGGAGGTATTCCTTTGTGTTTCCCTAATGGCTGATAGGGTTGAAGCATTCCATTTTGATGCCACACATTTTAATGAATTATAGTGATGAAACATAACATTCCATTTTAATATTTTAATTTTGAACAAAGTGGCAAGGAGAATTTATACTGTTCCATGTCATATTTGGGAAGTGTACTGCATTTACAGCTCATCTTTAAAGAATTCTGACTTGGCTATGTACACGTGAAACTTCAGAGGGAGTTTCAAAGGACCAGTTCCCCACAGGAGAATAAAACACACTCAGCTGGTGTTGAGCATAACGCAGAGTCAAACTGTGCATCTCTGACTTGGTGTATTTGTCCAAACAGCTTGATTTCTTTAGGAGACACATCGAAACTCTTCCAAAGTCTAACACAAGCACATAGCACTGACATCTGGAACCCAGACACACAGGTTTGAAACAGAGAGGCAGGAATCATAATGTGATCCCGACAAACAAATTCCACAGCCACATTAAAATGAGAAGAATGAACAGAGTGCTTTTGTATGGGGACAGTGTGGAAAATTGTTCTATGAAATCAGAAATCACAGTTTAAACAGTGGCTTAAGTCAAGCTGGATTTCAAACACGATTTCCCTTGAGCTGATTTCTTTTGAAAAGTGAAACTGTGAACTCTGTACTTCACAGGATGGTTGTGTGTGTGGGGGGGGGGGGGCGGCGGTCACAACAAAAACAGGATCTAATTTTGCACAACTCATTTTGAATGATAATTTAAATGTCATATTTAAAAACATAAACCCAAACCAAACAAAATTCACTGCCACTGAGGCAACTCTGACTCAGAGAGCCAATAGGCCAAAGTAGAATTTCCCCTGTGGGTTTCCAAGACTGCAACTCTTTACCGGTTCCGCAAATAAAATGCAAAAAGGACAAGTTCACATAGTACTACGGCTGGCATTTTCCCAGCCAGCCAGTGATGGGAGCCAGTCAAGGAAGCCTGTGGTGTGGAAGTAGACAAGGAATGTGGTCAGAAGAGCAAATGGAAGGGAGGACGGCATCTACCAAGCACAAGTTTTGTTCCTATGGGAGCATCCTGGGAACAGGAAGAAAAGAACCGAGAAACAAGACGGCCAAATCACATGTACAATTTTTAATGGCTGAAAGTGCAGTTTAGAAAAAAAAAAGAAATAAAGCTTTTAATTTTTAAGCCAGTGTGATGTGGCTGTACAGTGATATGTGTATAGGACACTATACAAAGAACTCTGTTTTTCCTCTTCAAGGAATTAAACACAGTAAAATGCACTAAAGAGTTTTAGTTTTTGTGGAACTTTTTTTTTTTTTACACATTTATTGGCAAATAGACTCATTAGTCATATGGAGTGCCTTCAAAATAAAGTTGGAGGTTAGGTCCAAGAATTTTCAATATTTGTTTATAATAATTCAGACCACAATTTCCTGGACACAAAGTAATAAGACAATAACCTCCTAAGGAGTTTTCTGACTCTGGAATTCTGTAACACTTCTTGCAAAGTATCAGAGGCATACTGAGAATTATAGTTAATGATATTGCTTAATCAAAGTGTTTTTGTGTTTTGTTAGAATATAAGATGTAAGCTAAACATAAATTGACATGCAGGGTTATTACTTTATTAGACATATAACTTTCATACTGTATCATAATCATAAAATGATCTTTATTTTTTTAGAGTTTGGGAATACTTTCCAGACATAAAAAATTAAAGGAACTTTCCCTATCCGAATGTTATAAAATCACCGATACAGGAATTCAGGTAAAATAATCAACATCTTCTGTTAAAGAATTGTGGTAGAAATGTAAGCATAAAGGGGATCAAGATTGTGGGCCACAGTAGGAAAGAAAAAAAACGAGTACTGGAAAGACACCAACATGTAGGTTGTCTTGGTGGAGGTAAGAGCAGTGCTGACCCTTCTCCAGCTCTCCTTTCAGATCTCTCTAGCCCGGTGCCTGGCAGCTCTCCTTCTCCTTGCCTGCGTTTCCCTCCAGATGACAGACTGTAGGGTAAACGGACAGGTAGACATCAGACCTAGGGAGTGACTAACTTCAATGTGCTAGAAGCCTTCTCGTGTAAAGAAAGGAGTGTGTAGATGGAAATGGTATGTAACATCATCATGAAAATTGGGGGCTTGATATATCAGATGCTTACTAAGTAGGAACTTCAGTCATGCAAACACAGTGGGTCATTTGATTGGCAGAGGAAGCATGAGTTGAGTAATGGATTATGTTCACAACTTGTATTTCAAGGACTCATGAAAAATGTAACATTTCTAGACCTGGTTTTCAATTATGTTCAGAGAGTCATAAAAGAACTATTGAGCAAAAGCCACAACATAATGATTATTGCAACATGAAGCAGCTCAATGATTTTGTGATTTTATGTTTTCATTTCTCTTGGTTATACTGAAAAGAAAGATCAAAATCATGGGTCATGCATGAGTTGAACTAGGGAAAAATATGGTTCCTTATTTGTAAAATTATAGATGATGACATTATTTGAAGGAAATCAATAATCTAAGAATATGGAAATCAGCAAATTCATTGAACGCTCTAGACAAATATGTCCTGAGAGTTCAAAACTGGGAAATCCTAGGGCTAAACTAGAAAAAATAAATGAAACAAAATAAACTCTCTTACAAAGAGGAAAGGATTTATCTCAAAAATGAGGAGACTAATTGAAATGGTAGCTGAGAAGTCCACAGAGCGTGGCAAATTTAAAGCAAAGTTGTTTTCCATGAATTTGAGACAAACTTTACAGGTCCTAACGTGGTGAGTAAGAGTGTTAAACTACTGCACTTCCAAGGGAAGGCAGATGCCAGTCCCTAAGGTAGAGAGCTTCAGTGGCTTCAGAGGAAACCTACTGAGTGGATACCCTGGTACAGGGTGTGCTCGGGGATGCCCAGGAGATAGTGGATGGATAGAATGAATTCTTGGTGGTGGGCTATAAAGAGTAACAGGTCAAATGGTTCTGTAGACCATAGCTCAGCATTTTAGAACTCTGGAGTTAAAGGAACCCCAGACCCATATAACCACAGGTTGTTAGAGAGCCAACTCTGATTTATGAAGACCTGAAGTGTGGCAGAGTAGAATTGCGTTCCCTAGGGTGGGCTCTCAATGACTCGCTTTTTGGAAAGTAGCCTTCCTTCGGCGGTGCCTCTGCATGGACCCAAACCTGCAACCTTTCCATCAACAGCCAAGTGTGTCAGCCATCTGCACCATCCAGGCCCATCTAAGTCAAACACCTGCTTTGGCAGGTAAGGAAACTCAAGCCTCAGGGCACTTAATTGGCCCAAAGCCCTATCTACTTTCAGAGAATTAATATAACCTCAGTTTTCTATAAATGAAAGGTGGAAAGGCAGACTTGCTGTCCCCATTGGTTGGTTGATGAACATGACTCAGTGTGGAAATGTTTTCATAATATATTTACTGTATCTCATTCTGTTTGAAAATATAGCATCTTTAAGAAACCTCCTAGGAAAGTCAAGGGAAAGAGGTGGGAGGCAAAGGGCATTTATAGAGGTCTAGATAAAGACATGTACATATGCAAATATATTTATATACGAGGATGGGGAAATAGATCTATGTGC